CCACATAGTACTCATTATGGAATCGAAGGAAGAGAAAAAAAACATCATCTGAGACTCCGTCTATAGACTAAAAAAATTGATGCCAATGGAGGTTTCAGTTTTTTTCTTCTGAAAAAAAAACCTTGAAAAATCAGGTCACCTTATTATATGATCTTTAGTGGCCGGCTTCAAACGCAAAGACATCCTCGAATATCACGTGCAACGCCCTGTCCTCTGGGTCAAGTTTTGGGTTTATTAGAAATTCTTCTTATCATATATTAGGTACAATCGATTGCAAGCATGATTTCCGAGGTTTCTAATGTTACATACGTTTGTCGAAAGATTAAATGTGAACTGAACGATTAGATTTAAATTTTTGAAAGTTTCATCATCTCTGTCATCATCGTCGTCGTCATCATCACCATCTGAGAAGATTATTGATCGCATTGCATCGCGCTTATAGGAGAAAAATATTAAGAGAATTAACGTCACATGGCAACAACAACGATAATAATAATAATAATAAAAATAATAATAATAAGAATAATAATTATAATTATAATGATAATAATAGCAGTAGTAATAATAATAAAAATCAACAACAACAGCAAAAGTATCAAAAATTTGATAAAAATGCTCCTCAAATGACGATAAACCGAGTAAGACAACAACACATCACAAACAACAATACAAAAACACACGCGCACTAAAACTAACAGACCACACACCAAAAACAACAACACACAAAAAGATGGAAATAAATAACCTTGAAATCTAGCACAAGCACACGCACGCACGCACGTACACACGCACGCACACAAGCACTCACATACACGCACGCACAACAACAACATACGCATCAGCAGCTCAACAACAACAACAAACAAGTGCACTAACGCGGTGGCAAAGGAGGGATCTTCGTACAGCAGCAGCACGCATGCGCAAGCTAGGCGAATTTGCATATTAATGAGCAAGCTACTGAATCGCGTTTTCATCTGCGTGCATGTCTCTCGTTAGCGCCAGACATATCTCTGCGTGTGCATCTTTTGCACTTATGATCGTCTGCTCTGCACCAGCAGGCTCTTCAGATGATTGTTGTCGTCGTCGTTGTAGTCCTTAAGCTACGTGCACGTGCATTCAAAAAACAATTTCTCTTTCTTCAACTAGATCTAGATCTGAAGATAATTATTATATAGCGATAGATGTTTATGATGATTAGCTGGCAATTACGAATATAATTGGTTGTGCGCGTGTGTGCGCGCATGTGTGTGTGTGTGGTATGTGTGTGTGTGTGCTTTCACTTTCACTTGCGTGAATGTTTGTTGCCGTATTTTTCCACTTATTCTTTATTCATGCATCTTTTTGCGTAGATAAATTACTAATGCGACCTTGTTGGGGGGAATGTTTACTGCGTTCGCCTATTTATATTTATCAGGTCTACAAGGCACTCTTTAACAAATGATTAAAAAGATTGTAAAGTAAATCAAAAAAATGACGAAATGATAAACAAACAACACACACACACTTACGTACAAGCAAATTTTTATACAATGTATAACATACAATACATATACAATGTATAAACATTATATAGACATAGACATGTGTAAGCATACAAGTAGTACATATCGTTTAACTGCATGCATACAAGTGAATATATATGCTCGAAACTTGCCTAGGTATGTTTATCTCAGTGTAGTAAAAGGTGAATACCCTTGGAAGGATCCTTGGAAGGGAATGGAAAGTGCGTAAACTTTATGACTTGGCCGACCATCGTCAGCTAGTTCCACGTCAGCATTATCACCAACTTGACGATCAACAAGGTCTTCTTCACTGTAATCACCAACTTCATCATCGAGCATGTTATCATCTAGTCATCGTTAGAACATTTTTAATCATCTTTAATAACACCAACATCTTCGTCATCAACAGTATCACCGATATGATAATCAGCATCAGCAACATCATCAGAAGCCCTTCACACCATCATTATGTCTCGCTCGTCATCTGTTGGTAACAAGTTTTGCTGCTCACACACACACACACGCACGCACGCACATACCACATACATACACACTCATATACATTCATGCATACATACATTCACACACACATACATGCATACATACAAACAAACATACACAAACATATACATACATACGTACATGCATCAACTAGGGGTTTTACAATACATACATACATACACACATACATACACATAAACATATATGTAGAGGATGATTAAGTGCATGTCTACAATTTTTTTTTCTTGTTTCATTTCACTTCACAAACGTGCAAATGGCGTCTGCCGATGTTTTTGTAGTCAACGCGCCAAAGCACATCAGCCGTATAGACGTAATATCAATCAAATTTTCAGACTCCGAATATAATTTAAAAAAAAAATTGTGAAAAAAAACGATAACAAAATAAAAAAAAAACAATTTTCCCGCCGGTTACATGACCTTCGAACACGTGACTAGCACTGCACTGATAAAAATTTTTTTTTTCTCACATCTGTCATGCAACAAGCGAGGCAACAAGAGTACTGAGATGTGGAAACGTAAGGAGAAAGAAACTCAATTTATTATGAAATGTTATCTACCTACACAATGTTATTATTATTACTGTTGTTATTATTATTATTGTTATGATTATTATTATTGTTATTATTATTATTAACAATCGAAAAAGCGAACACAAAAAAAAAATTTGGACTCTCAATTACATCATTTAACTTTAAAACATCACCATAAACTTCCTATTTTGAAGTTATTAAATTTGGGCTTCACACGGATTTAGTAGTGTGTTTGTGCATGTGTGTGTGCGTGCGTGCGCGCGTGTGTTGTATTTCATAGTTAATTGAAAGTTACAGGTTACCAAAGCAATACAATTAACCTATTCTCACCACCACGATTCATTATATTGATTGGAGACCCGGTCAAATGTATCAATGTTACCTTCCACTGACACTTCTCTGTGTTACAATCTATTTTTTGTAGGTTATAAACTTAAAATAGGTTACAATGTACTGCCACATACAAATTACACTGTCTTAAAATTATTCGCGTTAAAAATCAGTGAAAATTAATTATACATATATAACAATGATCATTATTATCATAATTCATATTTATAGATATGAAGTGTCGTAAATAATTAACCAATTCAAGTACCAGGTGTAAGTTAGTGGTGAATTAGTATCACGGAAGAGTATCATTCATGAATCAGTATCATGAATAATCATTGTAAGAGTATCATTCATAAATAAGTATCATGAATAATCATTGTAAGAGTATCATTCATAAATAAGTATCATGAATAATCATTGTAAGAGTATCATTCATAAATAAGTATCATGAATAATCATTGTAAGAGTATCATTCATAAATAAGTATCTTGAATAATCATTGTAAGAGTATCATTCGTGAATTAGTATCATGAATAATCATTGTAAGAGTATCATCCATGAATTAGTATCATGAATAATCATTGTAAGAGTAGGTATCATTTATGAATCAGTATCATGAATAATCACTGTAAGAGTATCATTCGTGAATTAGTATCATGAATAATCATTGTATTACATAAAGAAGTATCGAACCAAAGTGTAACGGTGGAGGTCATAGACCTGAACTCCGTGAAAATGAAACGCTCATAAACAAAGTTGCCTCGGATAAACGTACGCGATTTTATGAGCGAATTTGATAATACGTGCGTGCGTGTGTATGTGTGTACGTTTCTGTGCGTGTATGTGTCTGTGCGTGTGTGTCTGTGTGTGTTTGTGCATCTTGATGCGTGTGTATGGCATAGGCATACTTGTTTTTTTTTCTGCGTCTATAACTGTGAATGTGTAGCACTGTGATTTTGTGTGTGTGTGTGAAAATTTTTTTAATAAAATCAGAAAAAAGACTGTTTTATGAATAAAATCGACCAAAAAGATTCGTTATATATATATATCTATGAATTGAATACATGTATGTGTGTGTTACTGTGTGCGTGTGATTATGCTATTGTACTTAAATGAACTCACATGCGCTGGCTTTTTAAATGTTTTTATATGAATTTTTAGGGTAAATATATCTTCCATTAGTATTACATTTCCATAAGTTATATTTTTGTGTCTGTGTTTGTATTTGTTTGTATGTATATTGCGATGTATTTCTATTATAACGAACATTTCCAAAAGTTATATTTTTGTATCTTTGTGTCTGTCTTTGTATTTGTTTGTGTTTATATTGCTATGTTATTCAATTATAGCAAATGAGTGTAGCAGATGTGTTCTTATATATATTTTTTTATTTACGAACATTTAAAATTCAACATAAAAATGTTCTTCAAGGGTATCGACAACAACAAGCACACAATTCTGGTTAACCAAAGCATCACACACATTGTGTATATACAACAAACTGGGACCTCTTTACAGTTGATCACCTCACTGCATCAAAACTGCTGACTCCTCATCTTAACCATTAAACAGTTAATTTAATACAGATTATCATAATTACTATATCTAGTTGTTCTTTGCTCTATCTATCTTATTCCATTTTCAAAAGTGTTTGAGTCAGAAGCCAACTGTTCTATAAAGGGAGAAAGCAATTATGATCTGGCAATAAATAATGATAAAAAGAAGAATTTAACAAAATATTTGGAGGGCACGTTAATATAGGCCAGAAAACAATGTAGATAAATATAACTATGAATATATAAACATATACTCATTTTCATTCATAAACATACCACACACACAAAACACAAACACACACGCACGCACACACACACATTTATTTACCTACATATTTGTGTGTAATTGAAATGAACGTATGAAATTATGTGTCTATCACCCACTGTATCACACAGTAAAGGATAATTGAAAACGAATTATGGAAAAGTACTGAACTTTCAAGCTGCATCATATCAATACTAAGTCCTCTCTGGGACGAAATTATCAAATTGTATGGAAAATTTGGTCAGCAACGAAAGTTTATAGACCTTTTGTATGTATTTTTTTGTAGACAGTTTGTATGTATTTCTTTGTATACATGTGTGTGTGTGTGTGTGTGTGTGTGTGTGTGTGTAAAGATGTAGGATATGTAGGCCAATGCGTGCGATTGCGCAATTGTGTGCTTACCAATTGCATGCATGCACTTGTGTTATACACCATGATTAATTAGTTAATAAACACAGGTCTACACACACGCACACACACACACACACATACACACACACACATACACACACGGAACCAAAAATAAGCTAACGTGATTAGCTGGCCGATCTATCTGACTAGGTGATTGAGCCTCTCACCCTGGTGAACAAACGAACGAATGAAGTGAACGCGCAGTATGATAAAAACTTAAAAATATTATTTCATTTAGAATGTTCGTCAATTGGCGCAGAAATGCTAAGCCAATGCGGCGTAACTCGTACAGTCTAATTACTAGGAAATAAGCTAATTGTCGATAGGACTTGGTTGTTGTTCTGTATGAGGTCGGTGACCTGAATATTTTTGCCTGTGTGGGTGTGTGTGTCTGTGTGTGTTTTCTATGTGTGTGTGTGTGTGTGTGTGTGTGTTTTCTATGTGTGTGTGTGTGAGTTTGACTGACAGATTTGTTGTTGTTGTTGTTTGCTGCTATTGAGTTGAAATGTTGTTTTCATTTCGAGAATGTGAGAAACGGTGAACTTTTTAAACATTTTAAAATACAGAATATCTCTTCTTTTTTTCATTTCGAAACGCAAAAATTTTATTTTCTACTTTTCACTATGTTCAATTCAGGTTCATACATGACAAAATTATTCATCAGAAAGAGCAAAACTGGAAGAAAGAAAAAAGAGAGAGAGAGAAAGAAAGACAGAAAGAGAGAGAGAGAGAGAGAAACAGACAGACAAAGAGGATGAGAATGAAACAAAGAAGAACGCAGAAACAATTCAAAAATATTCGCGCTTTTATCCCGCGAACTATAAGTATAAAGTACTTTCGCTTTCGCGCTATATGTCTGTATATATTATTATTATTATTATTATTACTATTATTACTATTACTGTTATTATTGTTATTTATTATATTTTTATAGTATGTTTTTACGGTTAAAATGAAATAATAGTTATTATATTTTATTATTATTTTTTATTTATATTATTATTATTGCTATATTTACCGGTTTACATTATTATTGCGTTTATAAATTTCATCAATATTATCTTTATATGTCTTATAATATTAGTTATAAATATTATAAAATCGATAAATATTGATACACACATACAAACACACGCACACACATACATACATACATACACGCACATACTCACACACGCGCACGTGTAGGGACACAAATTCGCACATATATACATAAATATATGTGTTTTGTATATATATATATATATATATATATATATATATATATATACATGCTCTGTATGTTTCGTGGTCAGCTTACTTGTTTGTTTCGCTGATTTCAATGTCAAAGTCAATGAGAGAAACACTTGAGCCGGTGTTGATTTGGTATTGTATTGTTTGCTATTTAGTTGTATTGTATTGTATCTTATTGTATATATGGTTTTGTGTTGTGTTGCACGGTTCGGTCATGTGTTGTGTTGCACGGTTCGGTTATGTGTTGTGTTGCACGGTTTGGTCATGTGTTGTGATGTGTATTATCGTATTGCGTTTTACGATTTCGTATCTTATTGTATTGTATTTAATAGGTCCTTTGATTGCGACGACTTCCTATTTCGACCTTCTGTAACGTAACTTATTGCGGAAAATATCTTTCTGACGTTTTTATCTGATCGGGCGGGAGAACGTACATAAAAGTGGCAACGACGCTGATACTGGGTGGATGAATTAACGAACGACTAAATGAAAAACAAATATATACGGATGGATGGGTGAATGCATGGATCGAATGGATGGATGAATGAATGAATGAATGAATGCATGAATGAGTGAATGAGTGAGTGATTAAATATCTATTGTGCAATTATCTTCGTCTAGTTGTCACGTTAATCGCCTACCACCCTACCACTAGTGAGTGTAAATTTAAATCGTTAAATACGGTTGTTTTTCATGCACGCACACGCACACGCAGATATACTTGAAAATGAAAGAGAGAGATTTATATATAAAAGAGAGAGATATAAAGAGAGAGAGAGAGAGAGAAAGAGAGAGAGAAAGAGAGTAAAAGAACGAAACAAACGGCTCAGTAAAAGTTTCATTTTCCTTCGATGAAATTGATCGCAATTTGAACTTTTTTTACGCGCAAGGGCAAAAGTGTGTAGTTCTATGTTTTGAAGTGTTTGTTATGCGTTCGTGTGTGTTATTCTATTGATCGTTTTGTATTACTCTCTATGTTTGTATGTGTGTTAGTATGTATGTTTGTATTCATGTATGTTTGTATACATGATTGTATGTATGTTTGTATGTATGTTTGTATTCATGCTTGTATATGTTTCAAGTGGTTATTATATTACAGAAGTTAATAAAAAAACAAGAGCTGCTACATTGTGCTGATGATAATGATGATGGTGATGATGATGGTGGTGATGATGGTGGTGATGATGGTGGTGATGATGGTGGTGATGATGGTGACGATGATGTTATTAGTGGTAACGAAGATGATGACGAGGACGACGATGATCTGCAAGGGGATTTTTATGCAAGGTAACATTACGATGCTAATTTCGTTTCAAACGATGATGATGACACGTCTCATTCAGGGGCTGAATAATTAAATCACCTTTTTCTCATTCAATCGCTATCTTTTTCTCTCTATTTTGTATTTTTTTATCTTCTCTCTCTCTCTCTCTCTCTCTCTCTTTTTCTCTCTCTCTCCATTTCTCTCTTTCTGTTTCCGTATTACGCTCTGCCCACTATCCATTTTGGATTTAGAATTTTTGTCGGCTAATTTAATATTTTTTTTAGACTTAAGTGTGTGCGTGTTTGTTTGGATGTGTCTATTTGTTTGTTTTTGTGTTTGTGTGTGTGTGTTTGTGTGTGGATGTGTATTTGTGTACGTGTTTATAAAATTTTCAAGTTTTTATGAATTAACGTGCGTGGATATATGCATGCATGTCTGCCTAACGAAAATATGCTTTATAATAGTGTGTGTGCACGTGTGTACGTGTGTTAGTATTTGTATATTTTTTTCTTCTGCAAAAACACACACACACGCACGCACACACACACATGCAACACATTCGCACCACACATACATACACGCACATACACACACACACGCACGCACACACACATACGTAAACACACATGTACACGCATGCAAATACACAGATGTCCGCGCATAATTGTATACGAATAATTTAACAGGCCGGCATCCTACCGTGGTCGGTCGGTGAGATTATTAAATCACAAATCACTTAACACCACACACACGCACACACGCACACACATACAAACAAACAAATGCGTGCAAATATGTGTGCAAATGAAATCTGTACGCACCCGTTTGTACGCACAGCAGATGTATACATGCTGAGTGCATTAAGAGAATTTGTACTATCAGTCCATGTATGGGCTTGTGCATTCATGTTTGCGTGTGTAGGTGAATTTGTGTGTGTGTGTGTGTGTGTAGGTGTTTGTGGTGTGAATCTGTCTATAATTTCTGTTCTATAAGATATATGGCAGTTTTTGGCGTGTATTCACATGCTCGTTCAACTGCTAGCCAGGCACAGTGATTTTGTATTAAATCAATGTGCGTGGAGTTGTGTGTGTGCGTGTCTGTGTAAGTGTGTGTAGAAATATGTATACATGTGTGTGTGTAAAGAAGTATCACACGTACACACGTGCCTCCCATGAGTCTCTCTTCAAAATCGAATTAATAAATAAATATTTTCATTGCCATTATACTGGTGCAGACAGGCTGTTAACTCAGATTTCATTTGCACCATAACTGACCGAAACAGTTTTTTGCGCGCACACACACTCACACACACACTCACACACACACACACGCACACGCACTCACACACGCACACACACTCACGCACCGCAACATAAACACAATATTTTTGATCCATTCCCGCACTTCTTACAAACATATTCGAAAAATAGACCAATGCACACAGGCATAAAAATACGCACAAACACACACACGCACACATAAAAACATGTATACACATTTCCACACATTCACATACACTCATTCTCACGTACACGCAAAGGAAAACGAAGAAGTAATTCACTGGATCATGAATTCGACAAATCTTATTGCGTCGGTTCATTGTGTGGTTTGCTCTCTGCTGATGTAGTAACGTGTTTTTCTTGTTTATGTCCCACGTGTTTGTGTGTGCGTGTTTGTATGTTTTTTGTTTGTATTTTTGTATGTAAGTGTTTTTGTTTGTATTTTTGTATGTATGTGTTTTTGTTTGTATCTATTTGTTTGTGTTTTTACATGGTATATTTATGAGTGTCTATTTTTATGCGAAAGTATTTGATTGTACGTGCATATACGTATAAATATATTTTTGAATGTATTTATGTCTATATGTATTTGTATATGCGTGTATGTGTGTGTGTGTGTGTATGTTTGCTATGTATGTATGTGTGTATTTGTAAAGGCGAGTTTGCATAGTTTTCATGTTAGTCAACCTATTAGAGACGAGACGACGGATTTTTTTTATCATCCGCTCCTTAATTATTCAACTATTCCACAACACACACCACACACACACCACACACACACACAGACAGACAGACACATTCGTATGCTGATTGTATGTTAGCAATTAAACATTCGTTCGAACATGGTAGTAACGCCTATATGCCTGCACCATGCAAATGAACCACGCCTCGCTTTTTTGCTCGTTTTTTGAAGTAAATTTTTAATTAATTATTCAACTAATTAATTAAATAATTAATTGGGTGATTTGATTTTGAGTAACTAAATAATTATTTAGTGACAAAGACTTTTTGTTCTGATAATTTTGAACGTAAAAATTATGAATTTGTTGATGCTTTATACAATCAAATCAATCTAAAATAAGTTTTTCAGTTTTAAAAATTGGTAAAAAATAATTGGAAAAATTATCCAATTTAAATGAATCGTGTTTTAATACTAAATTCAATAAAAAAGTTTTGCCGATTAAAAAATCATTTTTTTCTCTCAAGAATTCGAGCGGATGAAACATTTTTCGTGTAAAAATAAAATGAACTAAATCAAAATATACGTAACGAAGTAGTAAAGTAATACACGCCCGCTAAATTCGGCACAACTCCTCCCTCCAAATACAATAAAAACATACCATGGTACATCTCTTTATGCGCGGTTTATAATGTACGTCTGGTGTTCATTTGGTACTAATCTGTAATCAATATAGACTGAGTACATTAAAAGGGAGCAGAGTAAAAGGTACTAATAACCATTCAATTGAAGTGGTGTTTTACTGATATGCTGGTACAACACGTGCAAGAAGATGAAGAAGAAGAAGAAGAAGAAGAAGAAGAAGAAGAAGAATATTGCTACTACCATCACAAACACTACTACTTCTACTGCTACTACTACTACTATTAATACTACTACTACTACTACTAATAATAATAATAATGATAATAGTAATAATAATAATAAAATCAGCAACAAATTATTTCATATTTGGTCGTTCGTTCAAATTGAGACCATGTTACAGACAGATAAAATCAGCTTTCTAAATAGCTATCTTACTGTGCTGGTCTGTGAATTAGTTTGTCTATTTATTTGTTTGTTTGTCTATTT